TTGGGAGAGAACCTCACCATACCCAGCCACATCCTGCATGGACTGTGGGTGCAGAAAGCAGAGGTCCTAGGACATCGTCACCCCCAAAGTGCATTTCTGTGGCTGGGGGTGGCAGAAGACCAAGACAGAGAACTCGTTGCCCTTAGACTCCCACTGCCACCTGTGCCCTCCACCCTTGTCCTGCCCCAGGGATGCACTTGGAGGGTGAGGATTTTCTAGGCCCCCCCACCTCCCACCTCTGCACTCTGCTACCACAGCCAAGGGGAGATGTAGCTGGGGAGGGTGGGTGTCTTCTCCCAAGGCTGCCCAGCTGGCAGCAGGCCTACTCATCCCTCAGAGGCTGCAACTCAGGGAGGGGCAGGGTGAACTCAAGGATTAGGTGAGCAGCCTGGTGGACTCCAGGCCAATGCCAGGCATTGGTGGAATGGGCAGCATAAGGTACTCAGCAGGTGTCTGGGTACCACCAGCTCCTGCGCCCTGCTTCGTGAGCAGGCAGGCCCTACCAGGAGCAATGCCAGTTGCCTGGAGGAGCCACTGCAGAGGCCATCACAGCCTCTAGTCGTCCTCTGACTCGGAGGCCTGCTGTCCCAAGCTTTCACCATCACCGCTAACAGAGCTCCACACTGCGGCCACTGGAGTCCCCACAGGGCCACCAGTGATGCCGCAGCCACCATCACTGCACTGGGACCAGACTCCTGCCACTACCAGAGGATGAGAATGCTCCTCTCTGGATGCCTGGCTTGACGTTGCCACCTACAGACTCCTTGGTTGCCTTTGCCACCGCTGCCATAACTGAACTTCAGACACCAATACCTCCACAGATTCCAAACGCCAAGGCTTCACTGCCCAGGCTCCTGCCCATGGCTGTCCTCCAAGCCTGAGGCCAATTCTCCATCCTGCCACTGATACATCTGGGCTCCTCAAACTGCCTTAAGACACCTAGGCTCGCTGTTTGACATTCTCCCCACAGATGGATGCTGACACTGCTCCTGGTCACTGGGAACCTCCAATGGGAAACCCTGCTGTGGAACGCTGAGGTTGGCTTCTATATGCTTCAGTCCCAGAAACCAGACTTCTTTCACAGCCACTAGATGCCTTTGCAGGTGCCACCTATACCTCCAGGCTTGGGAAGGGTCCAGCACATGCCCTTCCATGCCTGCTGCCTGTTCATATCTGTCCGTGGAATAAACCATTGATTGGGTTAAAGCTCTCAGAACTGAATCATTTCACTGATAATCCTTGTATTGGCTCGCCCATGAGCTTCTGGGGACACCTACTACCTAAAGCACAACACATCTTCATCGAATAGCTTAGCAAGACCTTCTAGATGACTTGCAAGAGCTTCTACATCAGCACTTGTTTCTTTGCCTTGCACTTTTATTTTGTGGAGAGGGGCCTCTTGCCAAAAACATAATGGACCAAACTCTGGCACCTTCAAACTTCTTCTGCAGCTTTCTCACTTCTCTTGTCAGTATAACAATCTAAAGTGATGGCCTTATCTGGATTTGGCTTCATCTTCATAGAACGTGGGTTGTTCTTCTTTTCTTAAGAATATAATCTATATTAGTGGATTAGTTACAACTCTCATAATCTGATCATTTCACCTCCAAACATTTTTGCATTGTCTCATACATGAACTTTTGGAGGACATCTCATATCTAAACCATTAAAGTGTCCAAGAAGTTTACCATCATTTAGCATAGTGACAGTTATGAGATAGTTTAGGAAGACCTGGAGAACAGAAAAGAAGTGTCACCCCCAAAAGTGAGAAAAACAATAGAAAGTATTTTCTGAAAAGTCAAGAGAGAGAAGGATCTCAAACAAAAGTGATGTCAAACAAACACTAGGGCACATCCTTTGGATTTGGTTTGGGATCTGAGTTTTGGAAGAAATCCTTAATTATTTATGCCCCCCCCAAAAAAAATACAGAATGGTTGCTGAAATGGAGCAAAGTGAAAGGAAATGGAATAGAGCCAGCGATGCCTTTAGAAAATTACTAAAGAAAAAAAACTTAAGTTGGTGCAAGAAAATTCTAGTAGCAGTTTTGTTGTTAAGGACTCTCCTGGAAGTAGGCAAGCATTAAAAAAGGAGGATGCTTTAATAAAATCTTAGGGGAGCCAATGCAACATTGGGAGCCCAGAAACGAAGGTGAAGACGGAGAAAATGGACATCAGAGATGCTAATGGCTCTGTGAGGATTTTTACAGAAATAAATCAGAGAAAGAAGTTAAAAATATGTAATGGGCGGAGGCAACTCTCCATTTTAAACTGTGATCATTAAGAGTATTTAAAGTATTGCCCTGTCTCATTAATAGCAGGAAGGGTAAGCCTTCCTATTGTCTAACCTAAATAATAGCTTCTCGGTTGGCTGGTCACACTACGCAGTTTGTTGGAAACTCTCTGTATTAAGGTTCCTCTTGGCATGTCACTCCTGTGTGTAATTCTGAGTGCATGAGCAACTGGGTGGGCTTCAACATATTCTTAATTTAAGTGCTGTCTTAATTCAACTTATTATCTGGTCTACAGCAAGCTTTTAATCATTTATTTTTAATATTTGTCTTATTTATTTATGATATATTTATTTATGATTTATAATTTTATAATTTGTATAGCATTTATTTATAATTTATATTTATTTATAATTTATAATTATTTATAATTTATTTATATATCTTATTTAATTTTTTTAGTATCTTGGAAAAAAAGCATTCTTCCTTCCAGGTATCAGTTCTACCCAGGAGGCAAAGCCTAGGATGGCCTCCATGTTGATGAATAGCACGCCCACACAGACACTTGGGTATCTAGTTGTGTCTTTCTTCTACCTTTGGCCATTCTAGAATAATACACCAAACTTTGATATGATGATGACCTTTTGGTTCCCATTATTTTTGTGTTCTTTTTTTTTAAGTAATTAGAACTAAAAATGAGAGATTAATTGCTATACTTGTTGGAATATTTATTTTTACTCAGTCAATATATATAATAATTTCCTCTAAATAAACCATAATGAATCTGAAAGATTTTTAAATTGCCTATTAATTAGTTGAGTTGAGTTCCTGGCCCTGCAGGGAGCCCTCCCATATGTGATCTTCGTTTCTTTAACACTATTTACTTACTGTCATCACTCCCAGTTACGCTCTTCCTTTCCTGCTGCATAGTGTGTGCAATAGAATTCACCGTGGTGTTGAATCCTACTTTCTTAAGCCTCCCCTACCTCCCACACCAGTGCTCTTCTCTGGGCAGCCCATCAACACTGTTCTAGTCAAGACAGAGTATCTCCCTTCAAATCATTTATTTTTCAGCTTAGGGCTTGGTATGCTTTTTCTATAAGGGACACCAGTTAGTAAATATTTTAAGCTTTGTGGGCCACATATGTTCTCTATCATATACTCCTTTTTGTTTTTTAAAATAATTCTTTAAAAATATATAATCACTCTTAGCTTGCACAAAAACAGGCTTGACTTAGTGTGTGGGCTGGTAGCCTAGCTGATTGTCCACTTGGCAGGCACTTCCTTCAAGCCTTACAGAAAAGCAGATCTCATTAAGATAATCTAATTCCTCTGTTCTTATTCTAGTTCTTTTTTTTTTTTCCAGCAACCTCTAGAAATAATCTACTGTAGACTATCTAAGAAAGAATGTGCTGACCAGAAAACATAGGTATTCTGGATTACTCAGTAGTAGTTTCTAATTTCAAACTTAATAAACCAGCAAATTATCACAACGTGTGTGTGTATGTGTGTGTGTGTGTGTGTGTGTGTGTGTTGTTGTTGTTGTTGTTTCTAAATGAATCAGATTAGCTTGGCTTGTACTGAAAAATTTCTTTTGGAGGCCTGTACCATTGAAGGCTAGACTGTAGAACCTGGCTATCCCAGTTTATTCCCCCTGGGTGGCCCAGTCTAGGCCTCCCTTTGAAGCCAGCCTTTTCAGTTTTCTACAGGGGCAAGGAACTGAATAGAGAGGGGGAGGGGCTGGAGTCTGCCAGGTGGAGACAGTGAGGTTTTGGTGCCAAAAGAGTGAAAACCTGAGTCCACTCCACCACTACCTTTTTGTCTTTTCAGGAGTCCTTTAACTTCTCTGTCCATTGCTTTACATGTAGACTGTCTGAAGATGATTGCCTACGCACTTTCCCATCCCTGAACCCACAGACCACATCACCCTCAAGTGTCCATCTCCCATTCTTGTGAATCTAGTCTGGCCTCCTGTCTTACCTTGGCCAGTAGAATGTGGTAAAAGTGACTTCTGCTTTGTGAGCTTTTGCTTTCACTCTCTTGAGCTCTTGCTACCACATAAAGAAGCTTGCACTCAACTACCCAATAATGACAAGCCATGTGGTCAGAGGATCAGCCCCATGCTGAGCCAGACTGAACACAGCCACACGTGAATTCTCAAATGGCATCATGTGGAGTAGAACTGCCCAGCCCTAAGAAATAATGAGTTTTAGGGTCATTTGTTTAAATGCAAGAAATAACTGAACACCACATCACCCAGGTGTTCTCCTCCTCCTAGCAGTAGCACAGAGCTGTGGGCCTCCGTGCATTGGAGTACAGCAGGATGGAGGAAGAAATAACTCAGCAAAGCTCCCCACGGAATCCTGATACCACCCTCTCTGTTAATGTCAGTGAGTTTCAATGAATAGTCGAAGCCCAGTTACAATGGATTAAACACCGTGGAAGTTTACTTGTCTGTCAAATAAAAAACTAAACGTATGGTGAGAAGTAACTGATCAGAAACAGCATAAAGTGTCAAGGCCTTTTCCACTTTAAATAAGAATATGCTTTTTCCAACATAGTAATTATATAACTTTATCTGCCTTCAACTTGGAACACTATTTCAAATGACTATAATGATGTTTAACTGTTTCAGAGTTGCCCGCACTGATTCTTAGTATAAGTGATTGATTTCAGCTTAGATGCCTTGGGGGAAGTGCCTCACATTTCGTTATAACATCTAGTCTCAGTTCCACTACCTCAAGCTTGACAAAATACCAAATAATAAGTCTCTTTCTGGAAAAATCAAGAAGTCTATGGTTGAATTAATAACTGAAAGAGGTGAATTTAGTCATAATCATTAAGCTTCAGGGCCCCTGACTTGCACTTGCCTTCCAAGACTACAGAATGTGCTCACATGATCATATATTTGTGCAAAATCATCCATAAAACCAGGTAAGATTGTCCCTTTGGACATTCCCTGTCACCACTTCTCTTGAGTCAGTGTTTTGGATTGAATGATTCTAAGGGGGGTTGAATTGAGGATACATTAAGTTTGAGAAATATTGGTGTGGTCTGCAGTCACTTTTTATATGGGGAATTTATTGCCAGATACGGCATGAGCTCCAGGAATCTTCCCCTTGCCCACTGTGCTGATTCATGGCACCATGGCACAATGACAAAGGGCCAAGGGTAGAATCATACCATAATCCTGTCCAGCAGCAGCTGCCATTGAAGAAAATAGGCATAGAAAAAATTAAGGTGTATAATGTACAGAGCCATAAGCTAGTCTGTGGAAGATCCTTCCACTAATCAGGGTGTAGAGTTATTTTTCCTGCTGCTTTTTCAAAAACAAAGTTCTCACTGGTCAGGAATATAGGATATAAGTGGCATACATAATTATAAAAGCAATATGCACTTCTGTTTTGTTTTATGGAAATTGTACAGAATTCCAATAAAATTCATTGTAATTTCTGTTTGAAATCACATATCTATAGCAGATCAGTGGATGTGTGTGTGATGTCACCTATTTTATGCATCACAACACATTGCATTGATCTTAGCAATCCTGACACAGCCTGCCCTGACACAGTCTGGTGGTTCCAGACACAGTGACCCACAAAATGGAATTCACAGGATACTTAAGATTAGTCACTACATAAGAAAACTTGAAATGCTCTGAAATTTTATAACACCTATACAACAGAAATTTTATAGATGTTTCCTAAATATATACATACCATTCCCAATAATGAATTTAGGAAATTTTTAATACTATCAATATTTTTTAAAGTTTAATCAAATATGCTAGAGTAGAAAATGAATTCAATTTTTTTCTACAATTTGGATTACAAAATAATTTTCATATAAAGAGGTGATCAAAGAATATGTAATCAAAATGTAGGAAACAGTATTACAGAGATGTGCTAGATGTTTAATGATAAGAAATGTTACTTTTCTGAATTTGGTAATATTGTTATTAGTTTTTAAATGCATAATTGATGTGACATCTTCTCATATTATAAGTACTTTAAGTATAATTTTAAGTATAAGTACTTATAAGTATAATTTTGTGTTTTAATTTTGGATAGTCTCCAAGTTTCATAAAATTTGAATTCATCCTGAACGCTAGAAGATCTTGATCAGTTCAGCTAAATAAAAATAGTCTGTTTTTTCAAAAGAGCAAGACTTTATATTCTGGTGCATAACTGTGATGCTGGCATTCAAAGATGGCACTTAATGAACCTGCAGATATTTTTCTCAGAGCCATACAACATGGACTCCCAAGCTGCAGGGCAAGTGTGTCTTGAGATGCTCTGATATTAGAAGGGATAATTTTATTATTTTAGGAATTGTTCTAGTATCCAATAGGAAGAGTTCTAATCCCTGTTGAATTTCATATTCTGTCAGAGTTTTTGAGCAGAGACCCCCTAAGCCAAGTGCACTGTGAGCTATCTCCGTGGCCTGCACCTGTTGGACAGAGAGCCATATGCTCCACCCTGAAATAAGTTATGTTGGGCAAACACTGTGGCATATGTTCTGACTTCTGCCTCTGAACTTCTAGTTTGTGTTCAATATAGTTGTTAATTGAAAAGAGATAGTTTTTCATTTTATGCGAGGCAAAAGTGAATGGCAAATATGTTTAAGTTTAAATTTCACCTATTAGCATATTTTTATCTCATAACTGAGTTTTGCTATACTTACTTCACTTCCCCAACTTATTGCTTTAAAATAAACATTTCTCTCAGAGCAATTCAATTTTAAGACGAGAGAGATGTTTAATAATCAAGAATAACAATTACCCAAAATATATTCTCCTCTTCATTTGAGGACATACTCCCTGGACCATATCCCAACTGCAAATAGGTTGGTTAGCAAAAGAAATGTTTTATTCATTCCTCTCTAATTAGAATTCAGGAAATAGAGTTCCCAAAAGATGAGTAAATATATTCCTTTATTTTCACATTGTACCATTGTTGAATTTATGGTGTTGGAGAAAGTACCAGAATAGCTATTCACAATTTATTAGTATTCACTGCAAGAACTGACCTGAACCTCATGATAAAATAATCTTCTTAAATACCTGAACATTAATATGTGTTTTATTTTCAGTGAAATATGCACATATAAATTTTTCCAAGATAATGTTTGTCTTTGAAAGTTCATCTTTACTTTTGGAAGTATTTTCTAGAATTCTTATAATCTAATTCTAATTTCCTAACCAATTATTCCAGTGTAATAGGAAGTATTTAACCTAGAAGTTTTAGTTTTAAATGGAAAATCTTTTGAATATAGTTTCTCTGACAACCCAGTATATTTTATTATGTTTAAACATTTTTCCCTCTCTGTTGGCACAATAAGTCATGTGCTATTAGATCATAGCACACTTTCTTTCTCCATAGAATTTAGTTCATCTGTATTCTATAGAAATTAGTCTAGAACCATGTTTCAATTTTAGTGCTGTCAGTATCTATTATTCAAGTTACTAATGTGGTTGTGAATTGATGAACAAGATTAAATGTTTTGACCATCTTCTTAAACATTAAGTTCGTGTTTACTCACCATTCACACTAAATCTTACACAAGGATATAATGGAAATGAATTCTGTTTAGCAAGTGTCTTAGTCATCTTTCCATCACTGGACAAAATACCTGAAATAAACAACTTAAAAGGAGAAAAGACTTATTTTTCACAGTTTCAGAAATTTCAATCCATAGTCTGTCAACTCCAGTGCTTTTCGGCCTGTGGCAAGGCAAAACATAATGGCAGGGAACATATGGTGGAGCAAAATTCTCAACTCATGGCTTCTGAAAAGCAAAAGAATAAGCTTGTTTTTATAAAAAAAAAAAAAAGAAAGAAAGAAAGAAAAAGAAAAAAAAAGAAAGGAAGAAAGAAAAAGCTCCTCTCCCCAAACCCATTAAGCTTGAATCCATAAGTGGATTAATCCGCTCATGGGGTCAGCGCCCCTGTGATCCAATCACCTTCTAAAGACTCCCATCTCTTAACACTGCTGCACTGGCAACCAGGCATTCAACACATGAGCTCTTAGAGGACATTTAAAATTCAAACTATAGCTTTCCACCTCCGGCCCCCAAAAGACTCATGTCCCTCTCACAATGCATACTGCATTCAGTTCATTTCTGAGAGTTCCCATAGTGTAAATGGTTCCACAATTGCTCAAAGTCCAAAGTCTCTTCTGATCTTCAAGGCAAACTTCTACCTGTGAGCGCACATAAAACAACAACAAATAATTTTATACTTCCAAGATACAAAGGTACAGAGTAAATATTCCCATTCTAAAAAGGGAGGAATGAGGCAAAGAAAGGAAGGATCAGACCAAAGCAAGTCCAAAACCCAGCAGGGCAATCATCGTATAGCTCCATGTTCAGCACCTAAGCACCTGGTTGCCTAATGTACACTCCAAAGGACTTGAGCATCCCTGCTTCTATTGCCTTGCCAGCTGAAGCCATATTGCCTCTCTTTTGGGTTGGCTCTATTCATGGACTAAATCTTCCTGGGATCCCCACCGAAGCTTCAACTTCACTTTCATGGCTGTCTGCATCATCTTCTCAGGGGATGCTTGCAGGGACTCCAATACTGCCTTGAAATGTTGGTGAAAGTTCTCTAAGACCTCACAACTCTTGCATTCTTCATGCATACAAAACCAGCATCATGTGAACAGGGCCAAGGTCTTCCATCAGCAGTAGTCAGGTCTACTTGAACCAAGGCTATGATGGCCTGGAAGACTAACCTGCCCCATCAGTGATCCCTGATTTGAATAAGTCATACTGGTTTGGAATGAATGATCCAAAAGCCATCTTTATCTTACATGAAAGTTCCTGTCAACACTGACCATAAATATATTTATTGTTCATATGAGAACAATATAACTGCTAAAAATTTTTTTTTGCAGGATTAAGAAGGCTCCTGTAAGTATGAAATAGAAGATAATCAATTGATAGGTGGATCTTGCATGATTAGGGAAAAAGCTTTGTTATGAAAAAATAATAAGTCAATAAGCATTTTACACCAGGGCTGATGATGTAACTCAGTGGTAGAGTACTTGCTTAGTATGCAAAAGGCCCTAGGTTCAATCCCATTACCAAACACAAAAAAACTTCAAAGTGGACTGATGTGTTTAATGTGCGTGAGGCCCTAGGTTCAATCTCCAGCACTACACACATACACACATGCAGACATGTGTAGACACACATGCACAAAACAACTTAAGCCACTATTTCTTGGTGTTTTAGTTTGGATCCAGAGTGTCCCCTAAAGTCTTATGTGTTGAAGGCTTAGTCACCAATGCAGCAGTGTTCAGAGGTGGGGCCTTTAGAAGGTGATTCAACCATGAGGGCACTGACCTCATAAGTGGATTAATCCATGTATGGATTTATGGCTTAATGGGTTTGGGGGAAGGGACTTTGTTATAGAAGCAAGTTTTTCTTTGCTTCCTAGCCACCATGGAGTGAGTAGCTTTGGTCCATCACGTGCTCCAAGCGCACAAAGTTTACCTTGACACAGGCCCAAAGTGATGGTGCCAGATGATGATGGATGAGAACCATGAACAAAAATAATTTTTTCCTCCTTTTATGTTAATTTTCTCAGGTATTTTGCTTACAGTGATGAAACGCTGACTAATATGGAAAATTAGTTCTAAGAAGTAGGGTCATTGCTGTGACTTTACCTGACAATGTGGTTCAGAAGTCTTTGGAATTGGCTTGCAGGAGTAATTCGGAAAAGCTTGGAGAAGCAGACTAGAAAATTCTTAGAATGCAGAGTGGAGCTTAATGAATGAGCTCAGAAGAACAGAATACTAACAGGAATGCTGATAGTAAAGGCTGTTTTTCACAAGGTTTCAGATGGAAATTAGGAGTGTGTTGGGAATTAGACTACAGGCCCTTTTGTTACATTCTGGCAAAGAACTTGCCTCCATTCTGTGCATGCCCTGAGACTTTGCACTAGGCTGAAGTTAAAGGTAATTAGTCTGGTGGAGTAAATTTCAATGCAGTACAGCATTCAGGCACTATGGGTATTGCTGGCCACCTTTAGCCAGACTTATAGTGAGAATCAAAAACAAAAAGCAGAGCAGAAAGATTTGAAAAACTTGCAGTTTTTCCAGAAAAGGATTGTGTTTAAAGTCACATGCAAGGAGGCTATGCTTGTTAAAGAGATCAATGCCTTTTAAAAGCCAAGTACTTTGCACTGGGACATTAAGAAAGATGTCTTGGAGCAGCTCAGGAATCAACAAGACACTCCCACTTTAGGCTCAAAGACCTTAGTTCGAGAAGTGAGCCCCATGGCATGCAGTTGCACAGAACTGTCTGGGGAATTATTTCCCCAGGATTCATTTCCCCATATTCAGTCATCCATGCAATCAGAGGCCACTACTACTCAAACTGGTTTGAGACCTTGGCATTGTCCACATAATGCTGATTTTGTAGGCATACAGAATGCAAGAGTGGTGGTGACTTAAAGACTTCCACTGACATTTCAAAGAATGAGGCAAGATTGGAGTCCCTGCAGCATTCCCTGAGAGGATTATCTCTGGGACTCAATGACTCTTAAAAAAAAAAAAAAAGCATACCCAATGCTAAACATATTGGCAAACTAACAACAGCTTTCTTCTTTGATTTATTTAAAAGATAATTTTGTTTTATTGTATGAACCAAATTTTTTCAATATTTTATTTTTTTTTAGTTGTAGTTGGACACAATGCCTTTATTTCACTTATTTATTTTTATGTGATGCTGAGGATGGAATCCAGGGTCTCGCATGTATGAGACTATCGCTCTACCACCGAGCCACAACCCCGGCCCTGTATGAACCAAATTTTTAGGGTTGGCCACTAACCTGAATAGAAAAAAATCTTGGATCTCAAAGACAGCATAAAACATTATTAATATCTGCTATTAACCATTTTAGTGAACTTCCTGAAATGGCAGTTACTAGACTCCTTATCATCTTGGATAGGTGGTCATGGACTTTCATATACCTTTGTGCTCCAAGCATCTCTTATAGTGGTCTTCTCCTAGCTTCATGACTCTGATTACTGATTTTCAGTATTACCAGTGGGGATATGGTCACTTACCAACCTCTGAGGTCAGTGTTTTTGCCATTCCTTCACTCTAATTGTTGCCACATTGAGATGAGAAATGCCTCCTTATATCAGTAAAGAAGTGGGGGGCGGGATTCATCAGCTTCTTTCACAGTAAACTATTGTGTCTGCTTCACTCTCAAACTTGACACTTCTCTCACTCCTCTCTCCAGGAATTTGGAGAGAAGTTCTGAAAAGTCTATGTCAAGAAAGTTGCCCATAGTTCCACTCAGAATGACTCCTCCTCTGGCATTTAGGGTTTGCAACTTACTGTATTTACACCTCTATAAAACATAACTCAGTCTGGTAGTACTTATAACAAAGGAGATTATTTCTCACAATTCTGGAGGCCCTAAAGTCCAGGATCACAAGGCACTGGCAGATTTGGTTTCTGGCAAGTGCTTTGTAGGGCCCATTTCCCTACACAGTGGAATAGGCAAAGCTGCTCCAAGGAGCCTCTTTTTAAAGGCACCAATCCCCTTCACAAGAGCTTCACCTTCATGATCTATTATGCCCCCAAAGTCCCCACTCCTATACTATCACCATGGAGTTAAATTTTCAACATGTGCACTTTCAGGGTCACAAGCATTCAGATCATATCAATAGCCTCTTTTGAATCTCACTCCTTCAATTCTAATCCTTTGTCCAGTAGGGTAAGGGATATCTGTGGTTCTCCAGTTGTTTAGGATGATTTTATGGGAAGTGAGTATATTCCAATGCTTCTACTCATCTTTTCAAAGAGGTTCGTCAGTTTTGATGTGTACATGAAAACACGGGCTGTGCGGGCTGCAGTTGGTCATCCCATGATGCGCTGGATTTCATAGCACCAGGTGCAGCTTCCACCTTTGTTCTTAGAGCCTTGCTTTATTTTATCCTCAGGAGTTCTATATGATGTGTCTATTAGAACTATTTCCTTCCTATCTTGTAAGAACTAAGGTATATTCTCTCTTGCTGCTCATATTTCTCTGAGTAGAATCATTATAATTTTCTGTTTCCTTTCTGCTTAAATAGCTTTCCCCTGTGTTATATTGCCTTGATGAATACCAAGTTCTTATACCTCCTTTTTGCATAAACATTGAGTTTCTCCATTGTCAAATGAAAAATATCCTTCATCTTGCCTTGAAAAAACCTTCCAAAACCTCCATTCCTGCCCTATCCATCTTCATTTCCAGCTTCCCATGATACCCATCTGCTTCCGCCTGGTTGGGTTCTTCTTTTTTGGAGTGTGTCTTTTTCTTACCCTGTGCCAAGCTTGTCTGATTCCCCATCAGGGATGGCTTTTCACCCCTCTCCTTGCTCCCATCAGTCCAAGTCTTCTTCTTCTTCTTTTAATTGTTAATTAACTTTATTTTATTCATTTATTTATATGAAGTGCTGAGAATCAAACCCAGTGAGGCAAGCGCTCCACCACTGAGCTACAACTCCAGCCATGTGTACTTTCTTCTTTATAGGCCCTTTCCTGACTACTTAGGCTGAGTTTAAGCTCATTCTTTTCTGAATGATACTGTAATTTGCTTCCAAAATTTTTCTTTTGCCTCATAATCGTCAACCTAGCCTAATTTTCTTATCTATTCATGAAGATTACAGATATTGAAGAATATGATCTGTAATTTTGACTTTCCATTCTTCTCTCCCATTGATTTTAGCAGAGACGTTTTCCCATGGAAGGTGCTAAGTAAGCATTTCTTGAGCAAATGACCTGCAGCATCTGTTGGTGAACTATTCTATATCAAATATGGACACTTGCCTGTTGTCCAACAAACAGCTTGTCCTTTTTTTCCCCAGCTGGAGGGGGTGAGACAGCATGTGAGTACACATTGCCCATTCAGTTGAATGCTTGGCATACTTGGAATTTGCTTGCTGTGGGGAGGTCACCTGGCCCTAGCTTTAGCTCCCTGACACTCTCATTAGGTATTTTAGAACACTTTGTCTACTAATTCCCCTGTGGAATATTGTTCATCATTCTATCTGTCTCCATTATGTGTTTAATTTTTAACCATACTTATTATCAGTAGGAATTATACCACATACTTGAATGACAAAATGCTTATAATGTGTTTGTAATATATATATATATGTATATACATATGTATATATATATATATATATATATATATATATGCACTTGCATTTGAACCTCAAAATAATCTTATGAAATATAAGGAGCACATGATATAACTGATCCTCAGAAAGGATAGATGACGGTCATAGTACATACAGTTTTCTGGTGTTTTTATCTAATTTCATGCTATCATCAGTAGAAACCTTAACAAATTTTCATTTGATAGACAGGTTTTATTTCTGTTAAGTAATACTCTTCTCCTTCCATCATTTTTCCATTAAAACTTCCATTTTGTTCTGGCTTCCCATGAAGCAGCTATACCTTAGTGTAATCCATTCCTAGCCTCCATGTTTCATGATGCAAATCCCTTCTCTCACTGCTGATGATATAGCATAGAGTTGGACAAATTTCTTCTATGAAGAACCAGAGTGTATACATTTTAAGCTTTTCAGGCCCTATGGTCTCTATCATAACCACTCAACTCCCGTAATTGTAGTGTCAAATCAGCAAAAGCACAGTACATAAATAAGTGATGTGGCTGTGTTCCAACAAAACTTTTATGAACTTTGAAATTTGAATTATATATGTTTCATAAAACATTCCCTTTGGCTTCTTTTACAATCATTTAAAGATGTCAAAATCATTCTCAGCTTACAGGCTTTACAAATGCAGGTGGCCAGCCAGATTTGTCCTGCTGACTATAGTTTGTCAACACTTTATATAGTATATTTATTAAAGGAGAGCCTAGATATAAACCAGGGTACTTTAATTAGAAGCAAAACTGGCTTGAATCCAGTTCTACCTGTGGAATTTCAAAGCTGTTTCTAAGTTTCCTGTTTAGGGTAGACAGGCTCTTGTGGCTTCCCTTACCTTCTTCCTTATGTCAGAGCCTTTCCTGTAATTTGTGGATCCTGCTATGAAATACATCCCCTTAACTGAGTCCCCCCAAGTACACCCCCACCCACACAAGTCTTCTTGAGCAAAACTGACCTTACTGAGAAATTGAGTGGAAGATTTGTCACGAAAACCCAAGCAATGTCTAGTAGAACTGTGATGTCGCGCTTCTTAAAATGTCATTCTATCACTTCACTGCTATTTTTTTCCTTTTTTCCAACAAATAAAGAATATATCTTCTTTAAGAGAACTGATCTAAGTTTTTACAAAAGTGGTACCTTTTCTGCCCTTTTGAATGTTAGGTATTGTGTTAGTCAGCTTTTCCTACTGTAATCAAAAGTCCTGACAAGAATAATTAGAGGATAAAAATTTTATTTGGTGATCATGGTTCCAGAGATCTCAATCCATAGACAGCTGAGTGAATTGCTCTGGGTCCAAGGTGAGACAGAACGTCATGGTGGAGAAGTGTGGTGGAGGAAAGCAGCTCAGGACATGGTACCGGGTATCAGGGTGAGACTCCATTCACCAGAGATAAAATATAAACCCCAAGGTCACACCTCCATTGACCTACCTCCTCAGTTATACACTGCTTACCTTCAGTTACCACATGGTTAATCCCTGTCAGTGAATTAATGCACTGATTAGGTTAAGACTCTCATAACCCAATAATTTTACCTCTAAACTTTCTTTCATTATCTCACACAGGAGCTTTTGGGGAACATCTCATTTCTGAACCATAACAGATATATTCATTTGTTCATTTATTCAACATGTACTTTTTGAACATCTACTACAGTGCTGTCCAAAGTAACTTTCTGTAGACATAGAAATATTCCATATCTGGGCCATCCAATACAGTATCCTCTAGCCGCATGTAACCTTTGAGCATTTAAAATGTGGAGAGTGAAACTGAGGAAGTGAATTTACACTATATTTAACTTCAGTTAATTTACATTTTGATAGCCACATTTGGCTAGTGCTGCCACAATGGGCAACACAGATCTAACGTGCAGGCCAGTAAGATGCTGTATGAGGCTCTGCTAATTCTTGGTTCCTAAAACTTAGGACAAGGTTGGTACTGGCCCTCACTGCCACTGTGCCAGACTTAATTAAAACTTTGCAGTTTATCGTGGCTTTCTTATAATTAATAACTCCAAGCTTTTATGCTTCACATCTGTCACGTAGCTGAGGTTAATCTCTGGCTTTTACGATTTTTTTTCTTTTCCACTTCAGTTGTACATGAATGCAAAGGTTCTTTTCCCCCAAGAGCACATTCCTTATTCCAAGCACATCTTTAGCTATGTGTTCAAAAGTTCTATCAATTCCAGCTGTTTTTTCACCAAGTATAGAAACACAACAGCTGGCCTTTGTTTTAAATGCCTCCCCATGTGGGCTAAATATTTCATCTTATATACCGTTTTGATATGTTGACATGGGGATGAACAATATGGAAACTATCCTATGGAAATATTGATGCTTTGTAACCAAGATGATTGATCCAGCCACATTAGGAGGGATGTGAAATAGAGGGAGGAAATTTCTCTGAAATGTGCATGGCCATTTAATTACTGTAGGCAAACAGTCTCTAAGGCTGTGCAGCCAGCTTTTGGAACTGTCACAAGAATAAAATTAACCTGTGTTGTATAGCACAGTTGGAACCATTGTTGCCAGGCCACTTGGTACATCTTGCCAGAGGATGTGATATTCAAATATGCATGGGTCTTGGAAAAGCCTAGATTTATGACCCTAGCGGTCATAAATTTAGAGGCTAAATTAGTGTTGGAATTCACTATAAAATTGTGAGAAAATGACAAGGTGTTGTCTAAGAGGTCTGGTATGTTAAGAAGACTAACTAGCTCCAGGCTTCCCTAGATACTTGATTCACTTAGCAAGTGGTAGATGTATAGAGTTCTAGAATTCTTCAAGACAAGAGATAATGATAAGTCCTCTCCAGATTAGAAGACAGATTAATTATAAAACATCTAGTTTGGGGTTGGAGGTGTTGTTCAGTGGTAGAGCATTTGCCAAGCATGTGCAGGGCCCTGGGTCTGATCCTCAGCAATGAAAAATTAATCTAGTTTGGATCTTATCATAATTATATGATTATATGTCACTTAACAATTATTAATTCCCTTTGTTCCCTGAATTTTGAGGCTTCCATCCCTAAGGAGGAGCCATGTCCAAAGAAGTCCTCTCCCAGGCACTATGACCAGCCCACATACTTCCAAGGAATGGAGGTGCCCTGAAAGAACTGAGAGGCAGGGCAGAGGTGAGTACTAAATGCCATTTATCAGTGTCACAAGCATGATAAATGCAGTCCTCCACTGTAAGCAGGGAAAAACTCAGAAACAAGAAATTCTTACAGAGAATGATCAGGAAAGATGAGCTCAAATTAAAAAAACACTAAAGAAAAAAGAAATAAATCACCAAATCAAGAGTTCCGACTCAACAAAATGAAGAATTTGAGGCTAGATAGAAAAGAATAAATATGTTTAATGGACATAAAGAAATATTTAGAAGTATTAAGAAATGAAGAGGACCAAGATATGTACAAAATGACCAGGAAAGTTAAAATAAAGCCTGTCAAATAGAGAAATATGTAATGATTGCAATGGATAACTTAATAGCAGTTAGACCTAGCTGAAAGGAGATTTGTGAATGATAAATTAGGATCTAAAAGAATTATATAAAGTAAATGATAAACAAGATAAAATGTTTTTTAAAAAGTTTAGTGTAAGGAGGTTTAACAATATTCAATTTATAGTTTAAGAAGGCAACAGAATGGAGGAAAAATGATATTCAAGAACATACTGAAATTTTTCCAATATTGTAGGAGGGCGTAAATTCTCAGGTCCAGAAAACACAAACAAATCTAATATGAGAAAAATAAAAATAGTTTTTACTTATATCCATTGATATGAAAGGACTCACAGAAGTTTATAAAATGATCTATGAGGATCCAAAGATAAATTATAGTAAAACTAGAAAAACAGGCAACTTCTCAACACAATCAATGAATGCTAGCTAACAGTAGAAAACAGTGAAATAGTATCTTTAAAGTGATGAGAGAAAATAACTATCAACTTAGAATAGCATGCTCACAGAAACTCTTTTTTAGAGCGAGCAACATAAATAAATTTCAGACAAAGCCAAGAATATCCATTATAAGTTATCTACGTACTCTAAAAATAAATAACATACAAAGTATAACTTAAAGAGTTACACATCATCCTCAGTGGACATATATTGTGTCCATAATCAGAAAGCAAAACTGCTACTCATGTGTAAGACTGTGAGTAAAGGATGCTTTAGAGAAAAGAGACAAAAGGTGCTCTCCCATTTTAGAGTGATGAGACCAGTGACTAGCACAGGACCTGGTAGAGGACAGATGGTTGCTTGTCTGCAGACAGAATATGTATCTTCATTTACTTTTTTTCTATTTGACACTTCCCTTTTCAGCACCCATGTTAGCATGTCATTTTCAAAAGCCACCAAATATATCAAGGTGTTGTTTATCTACTAATGGCTAAACTGGCTTATCTCAGGTTAGGAATTAATAAGTGTTATTTTAAATAAACCTAGTGTCAGTTTACTTTGAAAGATTGCTAATAGTGCAGTAGGCAAGAGAGACTTCAAATGCCAATCCATAGGTAACAACTTATGTCTAATTTTATGAGCGTCAATAAATATCCAAGATATTATAGTTTTGAGAATTCTCCTTTGCTGTGGGAACAAATTATTTTAAACTACATTTTGGCCCAAGCTCAAATAACACTTCAAAGAGCAAGGGATAGTGTGGTAAAACAATTGCTGCCTGGTGATCTGAAGAATTGGGTTCTAGCCCAGCTGCTCTTTGGCTTCACCCTGATCACCTGACACAGTGTGTTAGTCAACTTTCCCTCACTATAACAAAATAGCTGAGATGATTAACTTTTGAAAAAGAGAGGTTTTATTTTGGCTCACAGTTTTGGACATTCTAGTCGATGACTGATTGGGCAACACATTATGGCAAAAGCTTGTGGCAGGAGCAAAACCACTCATCAGGAGCAGGGAGCAAAAAGAGGAAGAAGAAGGGTCCAGGGTTCCACAATCCCCTTTAAGGATATACCTCCAATAACCTAAAGACCTCCCACTAGGCCTTACCTCTTAAAGCTTCCCTCACCTCCTAATATCATCACCCTGGGGACCAAGCTCTAACACATGGGGCTCTGGGGTATACTGAAGATCCAAACTATAATACATAGATTCTTAATTTCCATCTGTGAACTATGGGTCTTGAACTAAGTCATCTTCAAAGGATATAGGACTGTTACCATTCTGTATTTTACTACAAGAATAATTTTTAAAACAGACCTATTGTTCACACCAACAAAAAAGCTATAATAATACCTTTAACTGTGTCTTCAGAAACATTATGGAGGGGGGTCCTTGAGTCTCACTATTATCTGAGTGCACTATCAGGGCTGATTTAACCTTTAAACACAGTGGGCACTATGGCCCATGATACTTATAGGGGTCCATAGAAATTTTTTAATTGTAGTTGATTTTAAAAATCAGAAGAAAAAATATGAACATAATAATAATGAATACAGTTGATAAATATGCAGGCTAGATTACATTTCATACCAACTCAGTCATAAAATTTGATTTTTATGACTTTTTAATGGAGAAAAATGCCTATGGGTCATAATGCAGCTCTATCTACTGTCCTGATGTAGAGGAATTTATAAAACTTCAGATTTGATGAAAACTAGCTGAGTCTGTAAGGGTCTCTGCATTCTAGGACCAGTAGTTGGTACTTGGTGGCTACATGTAGATATAAAGTTACATTTTGAGAGTAAAACTAGTAAAATGAACATGATGAATGAGACCAATAATTTACAAAAATGACTTTAAAATATATGAAGTCTCCTGGGAAGAGTAAAGTTGGGATATCCATGATAGAGCTGTAACCATTATTGAGCATCTATGATGTGCCAGGTGCTACACTGTGTGGTATGGGCACATTCGTGCTTAGTCTCTAACACAGCCTTGTGAGTTAGCATTATCATGAACCCATGTATAGAAGGATTTGAGGCATGAAAACATTAGGTTAACTGACTTAACGTCACCTGTTTGGTAAAGTGGTAGAAAGAGGGTTTGAGCATAGAGTTTTATTTGGAAGATTGCAAAGATGCCCCCAACAAAAGCCCCACCCCTGTGGAAGCACACTAATGCCTCTGTGGCGTTAGCAGAGCTCAGCGAGGCTGGGCAGGACAGCATGGCACTGAGGGAGGAAGAGCAGAGACAAGGTGGCTCCAGGTGGATTACACCTAACCATGAACACCAAAAGTCAAGGCTGATGGAAGAAATTGTAAACTTTTTTACAGCCATATTAGATACAAACCTCTTCAGACACTCACCATTCAAATCCTCTTAACTCTGCAAATCAGCATGATTTCCAGGTAAATCACTGTCAATGGGCTTTCATGAGGAACATCTGAAAAAAATTTGTATTAATAATAGACTGACAGTTGTAGAAATAAAATCCAAGTTTCCAATGGTTGCTGTGTAAGAGATCGAAAAACGTTGAAATTGGTGATTAAGAATATGAACAAGTGACCATTCCCACAGACTGATGGGAGTCACAAAAGAGAGGATCATCTGGTGACGAGATGTCAGGACTGAAGTGGAGAAGAAAGAAACAAACAAGAAGACTGCCTTTCGCCATGCTGCTAAGGGTTCTAAGAGTCCTAGCAAGATCACATTGGAAGCTATAAACACTGTGCATAGTGTTTATAGTTTTTAGTAACTAATTATACACAAGTTAATTCAGAGTAATTTGTTTATAGCTCTTAATTCATATGGTCTTCATGAAGTTATTCTGTTTGTTATTATTCCTTTTGTGAACTTTATTAAGGATTGAATTAATGAGATTCTCCAGAATTAATGTCTATATCAAATTGACCTTGATTGGTGTATTTACCATGCTTTTTATTTCTCTGATGCTTTGACGTCTTATGACTTTGCTGCCCCTGGAGGAATGCCCTTCTCAAAGTTGGCGCATTTCAAGAGATAAAAAACTACTCAGCCATGAGTGTGTCAATCACCTCAAAGTGTATACCCCTACCACCAACCATTTCTTTTATTTGCTGTCTCACTCTTGGCCACTATGCACCTGCCCTAATCACCTCAGAGTTAAGCAGCAGACAGCAGGGAACAGTTCCTATACCCCAGAGCCCTGGGAACTTCTTCAAACTAGTCCATTGTAGGCATGCTGACCCTGCCTCACCAGTTCCTCCCCACAATAAAGGCTCTTGTCCACATTTCCTCCCCAGCTCCTCTGCCTCCTAAACGACTTAGATGCCTCCCCATCTTTACTTCCCCATAGCATGGTGTGCCCCCTTCTCATTGGATCTCCAAAAATATCAATCTACCTTTTCTCTTTTATGGTGCTAGGGATGGATGCAACTCAGGGCCTCACCCATCCTAGGCAATTGTGCTAATACTACCCCAAGCACATGGTCTAGCTTTTCCATCACAGTTGTCTCCTGGTTTGTGAGCCTTGACATACCTAGATAATAACCTATATTGCAAAGTAAATAGTAATTATCTCTAAGATACTGGCAGGAAAACTAAGTTAGATAGAAACTCTCTTCACTGTATTAGAACCTCTCTTTCACTGTCAGCTTGGGTTGCCATAATAAAATACCTTCAGTCCTCAATATACTATAGCTCTTAATTCATATGGTCTTAATTCATATACAATAAACCATTATTGGTTTGCAAGTTTGACTTTCAATGGTATGAAAGTGATACTCATTCAGTAGAAACTGTACTTGGAATTTTGAAGCTGATCTTTTCCCAAGATACTGATACAGGGTTGGGGCTGGACTGAAACCCAGGTCTGCGCCCCCGAACTATGCCCCGGATACTGTATATCCTCTAGTGTAATAAAGGGGATTCCCCCATGTATTACTACACAGAGACCTGTGTGACTTAGATTTCCAGCTCTGGACTCCCTTTGTTTCAATTACATGCTTGTCTAGAAGCTTCTGAGGCCTTCCCAAGATCCTGATAGAGAGTTTCTCTGTGTGGCAGTGTCTGACCAGTCATTAGAAAGGAATATTCCTGACCACTTATCCCAGGATTAATAAATTGGTATTGCATCCAGTACCTTAGGAATTTTTGCTTTGCTTTTTCTTTTTTAATCACTCAAGCCTAATAATAATTGAGGGAATACTAAAAAATTTAGTTCCTGACCCTGGAAATCTCATGTGCAGGCCTTGG